TTTGCAAGGCTGTTGGCCCTCCTGGGGCACTTTTTGTTTGGTCTTCAGAGCAGCCAACTGGGAAGTTGTAACCAACCCCCCACTGCCCTAGCAGCCAGTCTTCATGATGTCTGAATCTGGAGGCCGGCAAGGCTGAGTGGTGCCTTTTTTTGCTTCGGGTACCATCTCCCAAACAGGTCTAGTTCATCAGCAATATGGTGGGAGCCTTTCAGAGGTGAACAGTAGCCACCCCTTGTTTGCTCTGTCACCCTCTGCTGTGCGCTGGGTCTCATCTTGTCTTGTGCTTTATTGCTTCATTTATTGGCTTCAGTTTTGTGTGCTGAATTCTACCCAATCATGGTTATGGATGCCCCTTTGTTTCTAACTATGATATGTCAATGTTTTTTCCTGCTCCAAACAAAGGAAAACGTCTTTCCAATGCAATTTTAAGCAATCACATGTCCAGAATTAGCTTTCATGTCAAGGTAACAGTGACTGACCCCCCTTTCTCTGTCATCCCATGGAGAAACTTCCCCAGTCATTTTGTACCATTATATAAATATATATATAAAAATATAAATATATAAATACAATATGTGAAGACATCTTATTGGTTTTTATTTTGAAACAATTTTTAGGCTTGTTTTTTGGGTATCTGTGCTGCCTGTAATGTATTGACCTGTTTTATAGGTGCCTTTTTATTAAAAAGAGAAGTTTCAAAACCTGATCCTTGGAGCCTGTCTTCACTGGTCTGAGTTTCTTCAACATTAGCTAGTGTGGCCCACTGTACTTGGGGGCTCACATCAAATCACATATAGCTGGTAGTTGCTGTTTGGTAGTGCCCCAGCGAAGAACTGGCTTGGACACATGCTTTTCTTCTGGTTGTTTTCTCCAACTTATGTTTGAGTAATGAGGAGAGTTGTTGCCATGTGAAGGGCAGAGATGTTGTTAATGCCCAGATTATCCGAACTACAAGTCAAATCTTAGCTTTTAACTGCAATCCTTTCCAATGATGCCAACAGCAGTCTTCTGCTCCTAGCAGGATCTGATGCTGTAGTAGCACCTATGATCAACAATGTCCTGCTGAGCTAGGCCACTGGTTAACCCTCTGTAGCTGCTTTTTGGGTAGTTCATCCTCTCCATTCAGTTGGAAACAGCTACCATGAGGCAATAAAAGAACCCATTCCCTCCCTGCCCTGCTGTCAGCCCAGCTCTCTGCACCATAAACCATGTGTGTCTAAGCCCTCTTGCTCTCTCAGAACTGCAGAGCCATGGATGCTCCTGAGCCAGTCTCTCTCCTGCTGGGCAAAAGCAGTGAAGGAAAGGAGCACTGTTGGCTTTATTCTCTGACTGCTCCCTTGGAGCTAGTCGTCAAAGGCTACAAAATAATCTTCACTCCCTGATTGCAAACGATGTCAGTCAGTGTACGTGTGTGTGTTCTTTCCATGTGCTGTCCCAGCTCTGCACAGAGAGATAGTGCAGCAGACTTCAATATATTGAGACAAGTTACGCATTACACTCCTGGCTAAGAACATAGGAGTTGCTGATTCAAACCCTCTTTCTGCTTGCTGAGCTGGGATTTGAACTTTATTCTCGTATCTCCAGTGAATGGCTGAAGTGCCAGAGTGGGAGGTATTTTGATGTGGGAGCTCCCTTGGTCTTTCCTGGTGAAGCTGGTCCACCGCCACTAAATAATAATTGGGTCAAACTCAGGCTGTGAATCCTTTGGTAGTCCAGTTGTTTTGGTACGTTCTCCAGAATGGGTGAGTTGCTGGTTCAAATCCCTTTTGTGCTGGTTGAGATGGGATTTGAAGCAGGCTCCCTTACCTCTCAAGTGAAGGGCCTTAGTGCCAACCTGGGAGGTATTCTGACATAGGGTTCCCTCAGTCTTTGCTAGTGACACTGGTCCAATTTTAACTACATAATAAATGGGCCAAAGTCTGCCTCCACGGCTCTTGATGGTATGGGGGTTAGAGCACTTCTCTGGTTCAAATCCCCCCTCTGCCTCAGGGGAGGGGATCTGGTGCCTGAGGTGCAGGCTATATTGACTGTGGACTCTACAGAGCAGCTCTTGCTGGTTTAATTAATGAGTAATTCGGTCCATACAAAAGACCCAAATCTCTCTTTTGTCCCCAGTGGCTAGGATACACACCCAGGCTGTGGCAGAGCCCAGGTGACTCCCCTTCTCTGCTGAGGGGTGTGAACTGATGGCTCCCACCTCCCAGGGAAGAGTTCAGACAAGGATGTCCCACTGCAAAGGGCAATCACCTGGGAGGGAGGAAATCCTTGTGCAATCCCCTGCTGAATAGGCAGAGTATGGCTTTGAACCAGGCTCTCCAACAACCCAGGTGTAAGTACCCTCACCACCAGCCTATAGAGGGATTCTAACTTTTGGCCTGGCCTGAAGAATTGTTAAGTCAATTGCAATAGCTTCAAAAGGCAAGAGTGAGGGAGCCACTCAGCACTATACCCCAAAGCCCAGGGCACACACCTTGGCTGCAGGAGAACCCTCTTCAATCTGCTCCACAGGCCAAGGGACAATTTGAACCAGCATCTCCCACAGGTCAGGCATGTAACCTAACCACCAGGTTGCAGAGCACGTCTTGCCCATGGGCTGGCCCAAAGAATAGTTAATTCAAGTGTAACAGCTTCAAGAGGCAACAATGAGGAACCACCCCATCATGAAAGCCCAAAGTTAAGGGTGCACACGTGGGATACAGGAAATGGCTAGTCAAGCCCTCTCTTAACAGACCAGGGTGGGTGTGTTGCCCTAGCATTTCCCACAATCTACAGCAGTCACTGAACCACTGGCCTAGAGAAGGCATCTCAACTATTCTAGGGGCCAGCGAGTGGGTAAGTCAAGTGGAACAGCTTCAAGAGGCAAACATGAGGGAACCCCTCCCCCCTGCCTTTCTGTGGCTGTGATGGGGTGGACTAGGCCCAGAGGCCCCTTGTTGGTGGCCTCAGGGTCCTGCTACACTCATCCCAGCGGAGGAGCAGTGGAGCAGTCCTCCAAGCAGGCTAGAGTGGCTGCAGAGGAAGCAGCTAATCATGGCCTAGGAAGGCCATATAAAAGGAGCTGCAGAGCAGCGCAGCAGTTACTTGCTGCTGGAAGCTGGAGAAGAAAGGACTGCAGGCCTGTCTAGCTGAGGGATCTGCAGCACAATGGACAGCGAAGTGGAGGCAGGGAATGGGGGAGCGAGAGGCTCCTGGCTGGCTGCTAGGACTGAGCCAAAGACAATTTGATCCCCTGGGCCCTGCTAGCAATGAAGGAACTCTGGGCGGGCTGTGGACACTGAGCCGGGACTGAGCCTGGGGAGGGCCACAGGAAGATAGTGGCTCCAGGGAGGAAGCCCTGGGGATACAGCCCAACATCAGGGCTGGACTAGTTTAAAGACTGCAGACACACCCAACCAGAGGGGGCACTTGTGAGAGGCAGGTGCTGACCCCATTATAGGGGCCCAGGGTATTGTCAGTTGGCATGCAGAAAGAAGTTACTCACCTTGTGCAGTAACGCTGGGTCTTCGAGATACATGTCCCTGTGGGTGCTTTGCTGTATGTGCACTTGTGTGCCTGTGTTGTTGATTACCAAACTTTGGTAGCACTGTCCTTTTGATAGCTGCCAATCACTGTGTGTCACCAGGCTGAGCCTTGGATTCTATCTAGGCAAAGGCCCATCTGTCCCAGTTGTTCAGGTATGGGCTCGGGGCAGGTCCAGTTCTCAGTCCAGAGAAGCTATTTCTTACATGATCACTGCTCCTCTGCCCTGTTGCACTGACCTGTTTGGAGCTGCTCAGTGATTTGGGCATGTAACATCTGTTACAGACTTTGCTGCATTCGATGTCCAACTTCCTGTGTGATTTGGTGAAGCCCAGGGCTTAAATTCTCAAAGATTATTTCCCGGAGCACCCCACCCCATTAGGGGCTCCTGGATTTAGCTTGGGGGTGGAGGGGCGCCAGGGCTTGGGACTTTAGCCCCGATGCCTCCGCAGGTTTGAAACTATTTACCAGAGCTCCACTCTGGTGTGCTCCAGCTGAATTTAAGCCCTGGTGAAGCTCCTCTTTCTTTGACTCACTCTTTTCTCTTTGCTTGATGATGAGTTGTTGCCAGGTAGCCATGGATCTGCAAGACTGGGCTGCAGCGTCACATAGCAGGCAGGACTGTAGAGCAGTGTATTATCCCTATTTTGGAGATGGTCAAACTAAGTCTATGTGACTTGACCAAGGCCACATCAGGCATTAGTGTCACAGCTTTAGAATCCCTTGCTCAGACTGCTAGACCATGCAGTCTCTCACTCTTGAGCTGCCTCTTCTTGCAGCCAGGGCCAAACTTGGATGCGCAGGCAGACAAATAAGTGTTTTTGCCACCAGGCAGGTCTTGCAGCAATTATGGAAACCTGGGAACACCAACTCTCCTCAGGCCTAATGCACTGTGAGCACTTTAATAAGACCTCTCCAATGAAACAAGCTCCAGTTGATTTTTTTTCTTAATTAAAGTGGCTGAGCTTTGAGTCCAACTCTGCTATGGGTTGGCAAATCTGAAACTTTAATAAAGTATGCTATGCATCTGATGAAGTGGACTGTAGCCCACGAAAGCTTATGCTCAAATAAACTTGTTAGTCTCTAAGGTGCCACAAGTACTCCTGTTCTTTTTGCGGATACAGGAAACATGGCTGCTACTCTGAAACGTGAATAAAGTAGATTATAGTAACCTATTAGGGTTAGCTGATGTCTCAGTACAGTAGTGATGGGTGGTCTAGGCAGTCCTTGGTTAAAAACTGAGCAAAACCTGGCTCTTACATGTGCCCTAAAATAACAGAGCCTGCTGCAGCACTAGTGAAAAGAACAAATTCCATTGAGCCTCATAAGCAACACATGAAAGGCTCCTTTTATCTCCATACAGAACTTATCAGAAAGGCATCTGACCAGCCAGCAGCTATTCATTGGTCTCTCTGATCTGGCTGTGTTTCAGAATATTGACAATTCTGGCTGACTTTCTGCAGAAGCATGAGACATGCGAGGTGGAAAAAGTACTTTATTTAATCATTATAGTTCATTTAAAAAAAACTCAGCAGACAAAATTTATGGTGAGTTTATAGGGACACAAGATATAAGTTATAATAAAAAAAATAAAGCCTCTCAAAATTCCCCTTTGAGTTATGAACACTGAAATAATGTACAAACTGTAGCTGGACTTTGCCACAGTAGCACAGTTTAAACAAACTTTTCGGCATTTCTCCCTGCTTGGACCATAAGAATCACCTCATCAGCTTCACTGGGATCCTCAGTGGCTGTGGTGTGAACACCACAGGGAACGTTTGTTTTTTATTTTTGTTAAAGTTGCATCCCTTGGAATTAAAAACAAAAAAAATCTCTAAACCTTGGACTTTTCCTGTTGGGGTTAGAGTTGGTAAAATGCTTCACCAATGCTCCATTTTGGCCTGAATTTAGCCCAATGGTGATCCTTTAAATATGGATCATTCCCTACAGATTCTTCTTCTGACAGATCATTTTTCTGGAAAGGGGTGAGTGAATTGTAGTTGGTCTCTTTTTGTTATTGGGTGAATGCTACTAGTAACCTTAGCACAAAGCTCAAACATCCACTCTGCCACATGGGCAGTTTGACAACACTGAAATTAATACTGTTCAGCAGAAATAGTTTTAGTTTTGCCTAGAAAATCAGGTTAATTTTGGAGCAGATTTTTACAAACGTATTTGTGGTTAGGTTGTGCCTCGGATGAGTGGTGGCCAATGGCTCTTTAGACAGAACTATAACATACATTTCAAGCTAAAATTACCTATTAAGAAAAATATAAAGAAAGCAGCAGCAGCATTGCCTATACATTGTCCGTGTCGATGTGACAATAGCTAATGGAAAACAGCCAGTTAAACAGAGTCCCTTATGGCTGCTCTACACAGACTTGCACTGAAATAACCCCAGCTGTGGGTTAAAACTGCTGTCGTTAGTTTGGTGCATGTCTGTGTAGAGGCCTGATCCTGAGCGCTGCGGGGTACCCACAACTCTGGTATGAAGTCAAAGTTCAGACCTTTTTACCCTAAAATCTAATGCGTGAAATTTTTAAAAACACCATCAATGCAAGTAGCACTAGAATGCCTGAAAGCACAGTACAAAGCATAGCAAAAACTTTCCCTTGTCCCCCCCTGAAAAAACAAAAACAAAAAAACAACCTCCTTCCCACCCCCCCAAACTCCTCTTCTCCTTCCATGTTCTGTTTTACTCTGGAATAATGGGAATCCTTGCTCTTAAAACCAAGAGATACAGCAACCGACCCCCAAAGCAAATCAGTAACACATTCAGCCTTATTTCCCTCCTCCTCCCCCCCCCCGGTAATCAAAGTAGGAGAGGGTCTGTGCCAGCATTCAGTTACAAGGCTGGACAGAGCCTGCTCAAAGAATATTCACCCTCAAAGGAAATCAATTAGTTCCAGTAAGTCAGTAACTGGAATTATTAATAGTAATAAAATGGATTGAAAGTGAGTGAGAAAGTATGCAGCTGATGGGCAGGAAAGGAATTCCTGACAGTAAAGTCTTTGGGCCTATGGAAGAGTCTCCCAGTGTGAGTCGCAGAAACGCCGCCGTTGGGGATTGAGGCACTCAACCTGCCCAAAGCCCCAGGAAAGGCACAACAGGAGACAACCCCACGTTGGCTGGAGGAGATGGGCTGGCTGCCTTATAGGCCTCTTCTACTTCCAGATTCTGTGATGCAGTCAGAAGAGCAGTGTCCAGTCCTTTGTATTGACCAGAACGGTGTGTAACATGCAGCTACGTTCCAAACTAACTAAAACGTACTCTAAATGTTGTCATATTTTACATGACTTTCATTAAACATAGAACGGTTTCTAATTAAAAGCAATAATCGGGCTGTTTCACTTTCTTCTGAGAACCTTAATGAGCTGCACAGACTAAATCATGCTCTTCCATTTCTCTGATAAAAATCTCTCCGTCGTCTGGAATTTCCTGTTTGTCATTTTCTAAGGGCCCAATTCTGTGGTTGGCTCTGCACATGGGGCTCCTCCAGTGGGAAGGATGCAGTATCCGAGCTAACTTACTAGGGTCCCAGCAAGCCCCTTTGCAGTGGTTGCTATGTAAAGTCAGTATTTACCAAGGGCTACCACAAACCATTTCTCCATATACTTAGCACAGGAAGTAACTATGTGGTAACAGTTGGCAAGTATTTGCTGTTTGAATGGTGGCCTTTAGACCTCAGTTTCTTGTGGAGAGGAGGGAAGTGGTAGGGATGATACTGAGGCGCAGAGCTGAGTCCTGCACCAAAGGCATTACATGCTCTGCTGGCCAGGAACACCAAGGTCTATCTCAGCCCCGTGCCCAGTTCTTTCCCCACTAGAAGGTGCTGACAGAAGTGATGGTGTCCGACTCAATCCCACTGCTCTTCCTCGTCACATCAAGGATCTCCTGCAGGGTCTCCTGGCTTATGCAGCCCAGGTCCCGGAGGATCCGGAAGAAGTCGTTGCGGAACTTGACTCCAACAAAGGCATAGAGGATGGGGTTGAGACAGCAATGTGTGAAGCCAATCACCTCTGTCACCATGATGCTGGTGCCCAGCTGGTCCGCCAAGGCACAATCGTTCGGTAAGGTTTCCAGCTTGTCTAGCGTGTCCAAAAATATGACCATGTGGTAAGGGCTCCAACAGAGTAAGAACACCCCTGTGACCAGGATGGCCACTCTCACGGCCTTCTGCCTCTGCAGTCGCTGAGACTGGCACAGGGTCCTCACAATGGCTGTATAGCAGTAGCACATAACCAGCAGGGGCACGAAGAAACCCACAATGTGATACAGGAAGCGGGTTGCCAGCCACATGTTGCTGCCATGAATCCCAACTTGCTGGAAATTGCAGACACTGTGGTTGCTCTTGTCTGACCAGACCTCCATGAGCACTAGATCGGGCAAGGTCAGCACCAGGGAGATGAACCAAATGGCCAGGCAAGTGAGGTGGATGGACCTGACTCTGCGCTTCCTGTAGGTGTGGATAGCATACACTATGGCCAGGTAGCGATCCACACTGATGCAGCCCAGCAGCATGCTGCTGCAGTAGAAGTTGATTTTGTGGACAGCGCTGAGGACTTTGCAAAGGAAAGTGCCGAAGATCCAGCCGGTCAAGCTCTCGGTCACGCCAAAAGGCAAGGTGAGCACTAGCACCAGATTGGCCAAGGCTAGATGAAAGAGGAAGTTCTCGGTGGTAGTGCGGGCGCGCTTGTAACGCTCCAGGATGATCAATACTAGGGCATTGCCCAAGGTCCCCAGAAGGAATATCAGAAGGTAAACTAAGGGCACAAAGATCTTCTTGAAAGGATGTGTGGGATCGCTAGCCAGTGACGAGACTGATTCTGGACAAAAGTAGTCATCGTAGGATCTTGTGGTGTTGTCATTGTCATTGTAGTCACTGAATTCCCCCAGCAAATTCTGCAGAACAGGAGGAGAATAATCCCATTACAGGCTGCAGTTTCTGTACAGCCATTTCCCAGGAGAAAGCCCAACCATTACATAGGAAATGCCAGACAAGATTAGTCACCTAGCCGATCAAGTCCAAGGCCCTGCCTCTGGACAATAGCCAGCACCAGACACTTCAGAGGAAGGTGCAGGAAACCTCCAGCAGCAAATGTGAGATAATCTGCCGCCAGTGAGGGTCTCATCCTGATCTTTGATCATTAGAACCTCCTACTCCAGCATTTAAGCCAACATTTATCTCCCATCCATTACATGTTTTATCATTAACTAAAATATTTCTTGATATTCTTGTTATCCATATAAATATACAATCTCTTTTGAATCTTATTAAGTCCATGGCTTCAACTATCTCCTGTGGCAATGAGTTCCTCAGTCTAAGTACGCACTGCGTGAACAAGTATTTCCTTTGGTTAGTTTTGAATTTGCCACCCTCAATCTCATTGAATGTCCCATTATTCTTGTGTTATGGGACAGGGTGAACACAAGCATCCAATCGGCTGTGTCTGTCCCATTCATTATTGTATAGACTTTTATCAGGTCCCCTCTTATTCAGCTATTGCTAAGGTAAACAATCCCAGTCTCTTTTCATAGAGTTTTTTCCCAGCCCTTGATCATTCTTGTCATCTTTCTTTGAACCCTTCTAATTCCATTGTATCCTTTTTGGGATGGGGGACCAGAACTACACAGACTGTCTGGAGGAGGATGTCTTGTTGGTTTATATAGAGGCATTAGAATATTCTCCATATTATTCTCCACCCTATTCCTTGTTGACACTCAGGTTGTTTGCTTTCTGAGCACTGCTGCACACTGGGCAGAGCCCTCCATCGAGCTGGCCACCTTCACGCCCTTTCCTTACTTGATGCAGTTAATTCAGAACCCTGTAAGGGCTACGAATAGTACATTTTCCCCTCCTATGTGCATTACTTTGTACTTATCAACACTGAACTTTAGTCACCATTGTGTTGCCCATTTTACCTGGCTTGGTTGTGTCCCTCTAATTAACTTTTCTGTAGTTTTCTATCATGTTAATTCCATATTCTGTTCCCAAAACTACCTTCACACACTGGCCCTAAGGACTTTCTTTGATTTGTCTGTAGGGTGATTACAAACCATGCTGTATTTTGAGACAGAGAATGTATTGCCACTCCTCTTGACTCAGTACTGTCCCGCAGCGTGACACCATGGCTGTCTGAGCTCCTTGGGCTGAACTACTGCTGGGAATTTGTGATATCAGGTCCACGCCCAATGCGCAGGCTGTGATGTTGCCACACAAAGTGAGATTTGCACTGGGAACAATGCAGCAGCTGGCCAATGGAGTGAGCTGTACGTAGGCAGTGGAGATGGGATGGCCATTGCCTCCTACTTTTAAAAACCTGGCTGGGAGGGAGCACACTGAGCCTGGCTGGCGGCAGCTGGGTTCTGCTCTGCCTTGTGGCACATGCATCATGCTGGTCAGTTCCGGTTTTGTGTTGTCTTGCATGCCTGCAGCTGGTCCCTCACCTGCTGGTGGCTGAAACCACAGCAGTGGCTTCTAGGGGCTGGGGCCTAACCAGGTTTGGGAAGCAGAATGGACCCACTACCCAAAGGCCTTGGGCTGCCAGCAAGGAGAGTAAGGAGTGAAGGAAGGCAGGGACTTAGAGAAGATCCTGTTGGTGGGGGGGCTTGCCCTCCTCACTTTTATAGTCCTTTTGGCACCCATGGAGCTGTATCACACACCAAGTTTTTTATTCAAAGCAGAAATCAAATCAAAGTCCTGAGCACTAGAAAGCTGGCAAAGCCCAGCCCTCACAGTGGAGCACATGCTCTGACTGTTCTGCGCTGCTCCAGGCAGGCAATGGATAGAGCCTGCTAGCCAAAACAAGAGTGCTCAGTAAAAGGGGAGGGTGGAAATCAATGAGGAGAAGAGGAACAAAGGGCCAAGCAAGGGTTCATGGCAAAAATGTCACAGATAGCCAGTGATAAGCTGCTAAAAAATTAACAACCGGTTCCTTATAAAAAGTTCTGATTTAAGGAATGTGCCACAGTATGTATTTTTTGTACCAATAGGGTTACCATACGTCCGTATTTTCCCGCCCGGGCAGCGATTTAAGAACCAAAAAGCCTGACATCTCCAGGAAAATACGGATGTATGTTAACCCTACCTAAAGTTCTTTTTTCAAAAGATGGGCCTGAACTAGAAATGAGCTCCGTTTCACATGTGTGGGTCCCCGCCACACCCTGGGGGTGTGCTAGGGTGACCAGATGTCCCGATTTTATAGGGACAGTCCCGATTTTGGGGTCTTTTTCTTATATAGGCTTCTATTACCCCCCACCCCGTCCCT